TCAGACGTGTGCTCTTCCGATCTCAAAAGATTGAAAGTATTTTATATTTTGTAATTCAAATACTAAGATTCCTAGTATTTTGTATTTTGTATTTTGTATTTTAAATACTTTAATGATGTATTTTGCCCAGCCCTGAATACAGGCAATATACTCTTAAAAAATGTACACTGATCGCCATAGTGGTTGGACCCCCCTTGGTTTTCTTTTAACAAAATACACACTCGACAGACGTGGGCTTTGTTATATCATAAGAATATCGTAATCCGAAATGTTGTCCCAATTGACGCTAAAAGCATGAAATCGAAACGTCCGTCTGGTTTTAACTTCTCTGCCTGAAGTCACTCTTCTTTTTTTGTATCAACAGGGAATTGAAGAAATGTTTCGACGAGGACAACGTATTGAACCAGGTGGATCAGCTGGGAGAGACGTACGACGCGAGTGACACTGGCAACGACGAAGTAATAGCGAATTTGTTGCAGACCCAATTTAATCGCGAGTACGACACGATGTTGAAGCGCACGGAGGACAAGTTCAATCGTGACTCAAAAGGTAACTAAGAGACATATATGTCAATTCTCTGTCTGTACGATTATTTACAGAGTTCTTCCTTGTTTCAGTGAGCATCTCATATAGCAATTACCGTAGTTCTTTGTACGATGCCAAGGACGAAGATAATGCAAATCCTAACGTGGACGACAGTAAGAGGGACTTTGATCGTTTTGTCGTAAGTGCTGACGCAAAATGATAAATTTAAATACGTAAGATGTCTTATATACAGGGTTGGAAAGTTACTTTGTAAAAGTAACTAGTTACAGTTACAGTTTTTGTCTCTCAAAAAGTAACTATAGTTATCGTTACAAGTTACTCTGAAAAGTAACATGTTATAGTTACTCAAAAAGTAATGAATCGCTACTTTTCAGTTACTTTTAATAGAACAATATTAGCATTATAAAAAAAGATTTACATTTACATATTATATAATCTTATTTAAAAAGGAAAAGTAATGCGCGTATTTAAATATGAGCATTTAAATATTTATTGCACAATTACAATGAATATTATGATTAGGTGATTGAGCAAAAGTGTTGCATAATTTTGAAAGTAATGATTTGACATATATAAAGTAACTGTAAAAGTAGCTATTGAATTAGTTACTAGTTACTTAAAAAATCTAAGTTAAGTTACAGTTAAGTTACACATGGAAAGAAAGAAGCTACAGTTATTGAAAAAAAGTAACTGTAACTTCGTTACAAGTAACGAGTTACTTCCCAACCCTGTTTATATATATGCAAATTTTGCACTTAGGGCTTTTACTTTTTACTTTTACTTCGAATATTCAAAGCTTCGACGTTAACTTCGACCTTTCGAAGCTTAAGGTGCCTTCGAACCTTTAAAGTTTTGAAAAATACATTAAAAATTTGAATTTTTTAAATTGGATTGATCATTATCTTATTTACACATGTATCAAGTTTAATTATTAAATTATAATATTTTAGGTTATAATACTTTCAAATTTTTTAGGAACAATTTCGTAAATATATTAATTTTTATTTACAATTATTTGTAAATTTTCTGAATAAATTTATTATCTGCACAAATGTATTTTTCGAAACTTTGAAGCTTTGAAAGAATTCGAAGATTTTAATGCCGAAGCTTCGAAGCAAATCACCAGCTTTAATTATAAGAATTCATTAACAATGTATCGACATACAATACCAAGTTAGAAGGTATGTTAAATACATTGTTTTTCTTTTTCCAGAGCATAGAGAAGGAATATGCCTCGATACCACGCTGCGGCTACAAAAAGATGGGAAAAGATTCTCAGATCGTTACGAAGCACGACATCCTGATGTCTTCCAGGATCAACGCCTGCCGCGTATTGCAATTCCCACCGGGGATTCACACGGGAGACACGGGCGGTTTTGACGTGAAACTGAACAACAAGGTGTACAACACCCTGCGCGCCTACAGTCGCGCGCAGTACTCCAAGGAGAGGGCAAAAGTCTCGCCGAAATCCAAAACTCATCCGAAATAGAGTGTCGATGCCTCAAGTCAATGGACGGTTTCTTCCTGATAGCGGTATTCCGTATCTCGTTGACAGGCGATATACACATCTCGTGGTATCTTTATTTCATCAAAATATCGCGCTAATAAAAATCAATTCGGCATTTTAAATTTGTTAAAAAATTATTTCGCCATGCAATCAAATGTATTTAAGGCGATGCTGGAAGGTAAAAATTACCGACAATTGCAGTTGGAACGATAACTTCGAAAATACTGAATGGAATTAAAATCGCTTTTACAGGATTGAAATAGACATAAAATGTAATGGGGCGAGCTATTTTTTTGTAGTGAAAACACAAAAAATTAAAA